CCTAGGGTTTTCGTCCGTCCGTCCGTCCGTCCGTCCGGCCCCCAAATCGCGGCCGTCTCACCAAGCCAAATCGCCTGCTTGCTTGGTCCCTCCAGGAGGTGGCCGGCGACAACTGCGTCTACCGCAACATCGTGCACCACGAGGCCGGGGAGCGCACGCAGGTCCTGCAGGACGTGGCCTCCGACCCCACCCTGCCCCGCACCAAGGACGTCCGCTGCGCCGCCTGCGGCCACGGCGAGGCCGTCTTCTTCCAGGTCCATGCCGTCAGCCTGTTTGTTTATTTGTTTCCCTGGTTCAAATATCATGGCTCATCACATGGCACTGCACACATATTTTTCTTTCTTTCTTTCTTTCTTGCAAAACCTGCCGCACCTTGCTAATGTTGCTGCTGCGTGCCTAAACCTGCACCGTATAGTTTGACTGAAGATGCCTGAATACAGCAATTATTAACTTGCTGTTATCTTTATGATAATGTGCAGGCTACAGCAAGAGGGGAGGAGGGGATGACTCTCTTCTTCGTGTGCTGCAACCCCTCCTGCGGCAACCGGTGGAGGGAGTGAACGATCCGCATCTCCTGCCTGCGGAGGCCACCGTCGACCCGTGCCCTTTAGGCCTTAATTGATCGTGCTCTGGAATTTAGCTTCCGATAGCTTAGCCGTCTTGTCAGAGCACAAGAGAGCTCAACTTGTGAAACATATAATTGTGGTTTCAGTACTTGCCCGTGACCATGTACTTAATTTACAAACCCTTATATGTCTCTAGTGAGACTAATCTCATTTTATAGGTTGGTTCTTGCCTATCCACTGTTAATCCCTCTGTTTTTGATGTCCTGCACAAAGTGGGTTATGAGCATCATCGTGCAATTGATTCAATTTTGTATCCAGTGTGATGTTACTTCTCAGGAAAGAAAAGACAAGCTGGTTTGTAGTATTCTGTGATTATATGTGGACTGGGTTTCTGAATGTTAAAGTTCTGGATGCCTCGGTACCAGCATCTAGATGTGTCAAAAGATGTGAGGTAGACAGAAGACTTGGAACTATCCTCAAGGAACAGGAGATGGCATCTCTCCCTGTCCCGAGTGTGCAGGCCATGGTGGCGGCCACCGGTGGAGCCGACGTGCCGCCAAGGTATCTCCGTCCGGCAGAGGCGGTCGCTGGCGACAGCGAGGCCCACATCCCCATCATCGACTACCAGAGGCTGCTGCTGGAGCTGGAGCTGGACCGCCATGGCGAGGAGTCTGCACGCCTTCACGGGGCCTGCCAGGACTGGGGCTTCTTCCAGGTCAGTTCCTTGGCTGAAAATTCCCATTGCTTCATCTCTGCACGCCTTCACAGGGCCTGCCAGGACTTGAGTTGCTCTTATAATTGCCTCATCCTGATACTAGAAATAAATGGTTCTTGCAGCTGATTAACCACAGCGTCCCAGACGATGTGGTGGAGGGAATGAAGGCCAGCATCCAGCAGTTCTTTCAGTTACCCATGGAGACGAAGAAACAGTTTGCTATGGAGCGAGGGCAGCTGGAAGGCTACGGTCAACTATTCGTCTTCTCGGAGGATCAGAAGCTCGATTGGGCTGACATACTTTACCTCTACACACAGCCACATGAGAGCAGGAACACCAAGCTCTGGCCAGACCAGCCTGCCAACTTCAGGTATGGTTGCGATTGTGATTCTCCGCTGCCACACTACTGTTCAGCCTGATTACAACGATGACATGATACCCTTTTTTTTTGTTGCCTCCTTAATTGTTTTGCCCTAGCTGGAAGGGAAATTTGGGTGGAAATTAACAGTTTTAAAAACATTCTTTTGTTGTCTGTACTTGTCTCAGTCTCTCAGATACCTATTGTTGTCTCCTCTAATTTTTCCTACTTGGAAGTGCAAATTTGTAGAGAAACGATTGAAAAAAGCATCATTTCTAGCGCAAATTGTGGTTCCGACTTCCAAGTCTTATGCTACTAGATGGAAGATTGTAGTGCAGTTCTTACCCGTGATACGTTTTGTTGTACTCTGAATCTCATTCAGATCGATGCTGGATAGATATTCTGGTGCTGTCAAGGATGTATCAGACTCCCTTTTGGCCACGATGGCAAAGAATTTGGGACTGAAAAGAGAAGCGATCGCTGACAAATGCATCCGTGGAGTGCAGTCTGTCAGAATGAACTACTACCCCCCATGCGCCCAAGCTGAGAAAGTCGTTGGCTTATCCCCGCATTCTGATGCTGGTCTCCTAACCCTTGTCCTCCAAGTGAATCATGTCCAGGGCCTGCAGATCAAGAGGAACAACAGGTGGCTTCCAGTCAAGCCTGTCCCGGGCGCTTTCATCGTCAACATCGGAGATATGTTTGAGGTGAGTGCGTGCAGCCGAACACCGAATCGAAGCTACTGTCTGCTGATGGCCAGATGTTGTATGACTCAGTATGCTTGCAAAACTAAAATATCATCAACCAAATAAATCCATTCTCGCTGTTTGTTTTGCTTTGACGAGGATAGGTCTTCACGAACGGGAGGTACAAGAGCATCGAGCACCGGGCGGTTGTCGACCCGAAGGAAGAACGGCTGTCAGTCGCGGCGTTCCACTTACCAAACATCCACGCCATTATAAGTCCTCTGAAGGAGATTGCGGCACATGAAGACGATGGCTACAAGACGTTGGACCACGGGAGCTTCATGAAGCTTTTCTACACGACAAAGCTCGAGGGGAAGAGCTTCTTGGAGAGGCTGAAGCTAAACTAGCTGGCCAGCAGCTGAATGCTACCGTATATCAGGTAACAAGCCATATTGGTGCAGGCACCGTTGATTCGCGTCCATGCATCATTCTTGTATCAGATGCTCAGATAGTTGACACATGTATCGGTTTGCACTTTGCAACCAATCATTCTCTGGAATTTAGTTTCCGATAGCTAGTCGCCTTGTTAGAGGCACATATTCTGTGGTTTCAGTGTGTTCTGTAACTCTGTGCAAACCTTTATTTATGTCACCTAATCGCATTCGATAGATTGTTGTTTCTACCAGTCTATATATCCACTGTTAGTTCCTCTATGCTGCTTGATGCCTTGTACAAAGTGGGTTATGTGCTGTGCGGCCATGAGGTATAGCTCTATGGTTTCAGTTTCCATCCAGTGTCAAGTTGGTTCCCATGAGATAGAAGAAAGTTGATCCCCAGAAATTAAAAAAAGAAGAAAACAAACAAGTTGGCAGTATTTTTATGGTTGTTGTAGCTGGACTGAACTTCTAAATACGCAAAGTTCCTTCCTAGCTCGAGCTCCACGGTACCTCTTCTGAATATTATATTACTGGACTGGATGATGCCAGAAGACATGAGGTAGACAGAAGGGAAGACTGAACTATCAGAGGAATTAGTAGCATCTCAGGAGCAGCAACAGGAGATGGAATCTCTCCCCGTCCCGAGCGTGCAGGCCATGGTGGCGGCCACCGGCGGAGCCGATGTGCCACCGAGGTATCTCCGGCCTGCGGAGGCGGTCACCGGCATCGTCGACGGCGAGGGTGAGGCCCAGATCCCCATCATCGACTACCGGAGGCTGCTGCTGGAGCTGGATCCCCGCGGCGAGGAGTCCGCGCGCCTCCACAGCGCCTGCCAGGAATGGGGCTTCTTCCAGGTCAGTACCGTTGGCTCAAAATTCTCAGTTGACTTCCCCTTGTAATTTTGCCTGTTCCTGATACCAGAAAGTGGTTGGTGCTTTGCAGCTGGTTAACCACAGTGTCCCGGCCGATGTGGTGGAGGGAATGAAGGCCAACATTCAGCAATTCTTTCAGCTACCCGCAGAGACAAAGAAACGATTCGCGCAGGAGCGAGGGCAGCTGGAAGGCTACGGTCAGCTGTTCGTCGTCTCGGAGGATCAGAAGCTTGACTGGGCCGATATGCTTTACCTGTACACACAGCCACCTGAGAGCAGGAACACCAAGTTCTGGCCTGACCAGCCTGTTAACTTCAGGTATGATTGCTATGTGCCTGAACTTGTCTTGTTACTGTTCAACCTAATTACAGTGAAATTGTGCTTTTTTTGCTCTCTCCTTGCCCTGCTTGGAGGGCAAATTAGGTAGAAAGTTGATTAAAAAAACATCATTAAGTGCTAACTGCAAGCCTGTTGTTTCAAGCTCTTGCCTTACCAGATGGAACTTTGCGTTCTTAACCTTCCATAATTAAGTGTTGCACTTTGAATGGCATTCAGATCGACGCTGGATAGATACTCTGGTGCTGTGAAGGAGATAGCGGATTCCCTTTTGGCGACGATGGCGGAGAACTTGGGACTGAAACAAGAGGTGATTGCTGACAGATGCGTGGGCGGAGTGCAGTCTGTCAGGATGAACTACTACCCGCCGTGCGCTCAAGCAGAGAAAGTCGTCGGCTTCTCCCCGCACTCTGACGCTGATCTCCTGACCCTCGTCCTCCAAGTGAACCATGTCCAAGGCCTGCAGATCAAGAGGAACGGCAGCTGGTTCCCCGTCAGGCCTGTCGAGGGCGCTCTCATCGTCAACATTGGGGATATCTTTGAGGTAACTGTGAACTCAATGCTGTTGTCTGCTGATGAACAGATATTATGACAGATTTCCTGGTGCCATACGCTAAGAATCTGTAGAATAAATCAACCGAATAAACCAGATTTTCTTTGCCTGTTTTGCTCTGCTGAGGACTGCAGATCTTCACAAATGGGAGGTACAGGAGCATCGAGCACCGTGCGGTCGTCGACCCCAAGGAGGAACGGTTGTCGGCCGCGGCGTTCCACTCCCCGAACATCCACGCCACGATAGGCCCGCTGAAGGAGCTTACGGCGGACGAAGACGAGGCCTACAAGACGGTGGACCACGAGAACTTCATGAGGCTTTTCTTCGCGACGAAGCTGGAGGGGAAGAGCTTCTTGGATCGGATGAAGCTGAAGTAGCTAGCAGCTGATTGCTACGTACCCAGCATAGCAGGTAAACTGTGTCGTTGGTCCTCGCATCATTGTCAGATATTCAGGTAGTTCATGCTCTCTGGAATTTAGTTCCTGATGGCCGTCTTGTTGGAGCACAAGAGAGCTGAACTTGGCAAACATAATAATAATACTGTGGTTTCTTCAGTAGTTGCTTGTGTTCTGCAAACATTTGATAGATTTGCTCCTATGTGCTTGATGTCGTGTACAAAGTGGGCTATGTGCTGCTGTGTCATTTCAGTTTCTGTCCAGTGTGAAAACAGTTGATTCCCAGAAAATAAGATAAGAATGGAAGTTGATCCCCAGAAAATAAGAATGAGAAAACAAGCAAGTTCACACTTTTCTATTTCCATGGTTGTGGCTGGACTGATTTTCTGAATATTATATCATTGGATGATGCGTGTTCGCTACCACCATATCTGTATCTGTCCATATGTGCCAAAAGACATGAGGTAGCCAGATCAGAAGACTCAAGCATCCAGGGAACCAGTAGCATCTCAATTATCAAGAGCGGCAAGAGATGGGATCTCTTCCCGTCCCGAGTGTGCAGGCCTTGGTGGCGGCCACTGGCGGAGACGATGTGCCGCCGAGGTATCTCCGGCCAGATGCGGCAGCGGAAGCGGTCACCGGTGACGGCGACGGCGAGGCTCAGATCCCCATCATCGACCACCGAAGGCTACTGCTGGAGCTGGACCATGGCGGCGAGGAGTCTGCACGCCTCCACAGAGCCTGCCAGGACTGGGGCTTCTTCCAGGTCAGTTCGTTCGCTGGCTCACAATTTCCATTGCACATCGGCCTCTGCGGCTATGCCTATATTCCCTCAACGCAACAAACCTAGCAAAGACAGTTGAATTCCTCCTCTCGTACTACACATGCCTCATCATCCTGATACTAGCTAGAATTGCTCTCCTGTTTGTTTGCAGTTAGTTAACCACAGTGTCCCAGACGATGTGGTGGAGAGCATGAAGGCCAACATCCAGCAATTCTTCCAGCTACCCGCAGAGACGAAGAAGCGATTCGCTCAGGAGGAAGGGCAGCTAGAAGGCTACGGTCAACTATTCGTCGTCTCCGATGATCAGAAGCTCGACTGGGCTGACATGCTCTTCCTCTACGCACAGCCACCTGAGAGGAGGAAGACCAGGTTCTGGCCTGACCAGCCTGCTACCTTCAGGTATGTAAGATTGCGACGAAATTCTTCGTTGCCAGTACCTGTCGCGCCGTTCTTGAGCTTAGTTATTACGAGTACAATGGAATGATGCTTTTTGGTCTGCTCATTCAGATCGACGCTGGATAGATATTCTGGTGCGCTGAAGGATGTATCAGATTCCCTTTTGGCTACGATGGCGAAGAACTTGGGACTGAAACGAGAAACGATCGCTGAAAAATGCACCCGTGGAATGCAGTCTTTCAGAATGAACTACTACCCCCCATGCGCCCAAGCAGAGAAAGTCATTGGCCTGTCCCCGCACTCTGATGCTAATCTCCTAACCCTTGTCCTGCAAGTGAACCATGTCCAGGGCCTGCAGATCAAGAGGAACGGCAGCTGGCTCCCTGTCAAGCCTGTCCCGGGCGCTTTCATCGTCAACATCGGAGATATGTTAGAGGTGAGCGCGTGGCGCAGTCGAACACCGATTCGATGCTGCTGTCTGTCAATGACCAGATGTTAGAGTGTATATATGTATGGTGTCGTATGCTAGATTTTGCAGAACTGACATATCATCGACCAAATGAACCCATTCCCGTTGTTTGTCTTGCTTTGACGACAAGGACAGGTCTTCACGAACGGGAGGTACAGGAGCATCGAGCACCGGGCAGTCGTGGACCCCAAGGAAGAGCGGCTGTCGGTCGCGGCGTTCCACTTCCCAGACATGGACGCCATGATAGGTCCTCTGGAGGAGCTGACCGCACATGAGGACGACGCCTACAAGACGTTGGACCTCGAGAGCTTCATGAAGATCTTCTTCGCGACGAAGCTCGAGGGGAAGAGCTTCTTAGACCGGATGAAGCTAAACTAGCAGCTGCTGAGTGACAGTTAAACTCTGCTGTCGTCGGTTACGAGTATGGGGATTGCATCTGTGGTGTGTGTTATCGTTTCAGTTCCTATATGTCCAGTGTGAAAAATAAAGGAATGAATAATGGAGGTTGATCCCCACAGAAGAAGAAAACAAGCAAGTTGGCATGATTTTTTCTGAATATTAAGTTACTGTATGATGCGTCCTCACCATCTTCTGTCTATATATGCCAAAAGACATGAGTTAGCCAGAACAGGGGAACCAGTAGCATCTCCATTATCAAGAGTGGCCAGAGGGGATGGAATCTCTCTCCGTCCCGAGTGTGCGGCCACCGGCGGAGTCGATGTGCCGCCAAGGTATCTCCGACCAGAGGCGGAAGCGGTCACCGGTGCCGGTGACGGCAACGGCAACGGGGAGGCTCAGATCCCCATCATCGACCACCGGAGGCTGCTGCTGGAGCTGGACCGCCGCGGCGAGGAGTCCTCACGCCTCCACAGAGCCTGCCAGGACTGGGGCTTCTTCCAGGTTAGTTGGCCGCGCACCTGTCTCTGCATCATCATCATCATCAGGCTTGATTTCTGTTATGCCTCTGGTACTTGCATCATCATCAGGCTTGATTTCTGTTGCCTGTGTTTTGCTCCCCTGATGACAGATGTTGACGAACGGGAGGTACCGGAGCATCGAGCACCGCGTGGTGGTGGACCCCGAGGAGGAGCGGCTGTCGGTGGCGGCGTTCCACTCGCCAAACACCCGCGCCACTGAAGGAGCTCGTGGTGGGTGCCGACGGGGAAGAAGACGTGGCGTATGGGACGGTGGAGCATGGGAGGCTGAGGGAGCTCTTCTTGGCGACGAAGCTGGAGGGGGGAAGAGCTTCTTGGAGCGGATGAAGCTCCCGAGTAGAAGTAGTAGCTGAACCTAATGGTGCCTGTCGCAGCAAGTCGTTGTCTCCGAATTGGTTGCTGTTTTCAGCTTTTCCTTTGTGGTGTGGTGTGGAGAGGGATGAGCATTGTGGTGGATGCTGCCGTGTTGTGTGTGGGAATCAATGTTCACATGCTTCTTTGACGAGGGATGTGTTGTATACACAAATAATAACAACAACAAAAGGGTCTTCTTATGACAATCTTGCTGGCAGATGGTGATGACTTGAATTAATTTGAATGAAACATGGTCATAACTCGCATAGCTCTGTGTTCGGCTTCGCGTACTCATTGTCCCAAACTCACGACTTGCTCTGCCCACCCGCGGCCATATGAACACTGGCAAAATTTTGGCAAAATCCCAGTGGTTACGTCTAGATACATCCATTTCTGCGACAAGTAATTCCGAACGGAGGGAGTAGTTGGAACCACAAGTCATAAACTGCAACCTAATACAACTCACCAAGTCATGGTGTAGTAATCTGGAGAAAAACTCTCAACAGATAGGGATACACATTTGCTAAAGATAGCCGAGAAACAAAATGATCATCATGCTAAATAAAGATGCTTATTCGCAACAATAATATCTTCTTTCTTTAAACTTGGTTCTACATACACAGCGTATCTCCTGCATACAAGAGGCTCACTGGCAGGCCTCACGTGTTTGCAATCGCAGCGTTGATCATGGATACTAAAGCACCAGCATTACAAATTACTCCCTCCGTTCCAAAATAATTGTCTTTCTAGAGATTTCAACAAGTGACTACATACGGAGCAAAATGAATGAATCTACATTCTAAAACATGTCTACATACATCCGTATGTTGTAGTCCATTTGAGATAGCTAGAAAGACAATTATTTTGGAACGGAGGGAGTATTTTCATCGACATGCAGTTGATTTCTCCGAGATCAAAACAAGTGAGTCAAAGTGTTCGTCCAATACTGAAGCTCAAGTCACAGGAGGATGCGCCGGGTTGGCCACCGCCAAGTTCTTCTTGGTCCTGGGCGTCGAACCCCACCGGTGCTCCTGCTGCTGCTGCTGCAGGACACAAACAGAGAGATGGAAGATGTTACAAAAATGCAGTGTAGATGCCGATTCAACAAGCAAACCCATGTGCCATTTTGAGCTGGGTATTAACGGGGCAGCTACAGAAACATACTCCCTCCGTCCCAAATTACTTGTCTCAGATTTGTCTAGACACACCCATATCTAGACAAATCTAAGACAACCAATTTGGGACGAAGGGAGTACAAGGTTTACTGGATCGAGTTATATATACTGCAGCTCCACTTTCTTTCAGTTAATATAGAAAAAATGAAACTACTTTATTCTGTAGTGACAAGAACTGTACCGTTGGTGTTGGTGCTCTGGAAGGGTCAACCAACACTACTCAAACATGCATCGGATCGGAGTGTAATTAACACCCATAAGATCAAAGAAATCTAACAAAAATGCAGCAGTGACAGCTGACACTAGATGAAAATCAAACTCGTTCAAACCGACCGATCAAATTAATCAAACAGTACGTCCATCACTTTTGCCAACAAGCTAACATAAGTTACCTTCCTACTGTTTGAACTTTGGCATCATTGACCCATCTAGGCATGCAAATAGTACTGCCAGCATCACTACAAATTTCTTTCTATCCTCAATCAGTACAAACTTGATAGTACTACTACTGCTAATAATACAAGTGCGTCCCAGCTCTACACATCCTAGTAGTGAATTTCTCACACTGCATAGTACTGCTACGTCTGGTCCACTCACAAAATCGCAGTGCAAGAATAGATATCCAAAACCACAACAAGCAAACTGCCAAGAGCTGCGAAACATACCAGATATCTAGTAGTTTAGGTTGGCATTTGAACCAAAGGGTTGTGACCTCCTTCACAGTCATGAGATGCCTTGGATCCTCTAGCGATTGACGCAAGGCCATCACACGCACTTCATTGCTTTCCTGAAACATCAAGTTTCAGCACCGAAAATCAACAAAGGCACAAACTCATGGGCGGAGGTAGTATTTGTTACAGCAGAAAAAAAAGGGCATATGTTTCGTCTGTTTCATCCATGCTTTTCCCATTGAACTGAAACCATTTCCAAACTACGTGGATTGGAGCACCCACAAAGCAAAGCAAACCAAACCAAACGAGCTAGCAAGCTATAAGGGGAAATCGAAAGCACTGCAACAAGCAAGGAAGGGTCATCTCTTACCACTGCAGGGGCATGAGCTCGCCGTAGATGGCCACGGCAGGAGCCTAGGATCATGCTCTCCTCCTTGTCGTCGAGCTAGTTGGGTCCGGGGATTGGGAGGTGCTGCTGCTCCAGGTCTGGTGTGAGGAGAAGATAACAATCATGCATTGTTATAGTAAAAATATGAAGAGAAGCAGACATTTGTTTCTTTGTCTGTCACCGTTAGAGAATGAGCAGAAACCCAATTTTGAATTTTGATAAATAGGCATTGCAGAGAGTGAGCTGCAACGAGTCCAATGATAATAATAGAGAGAAAAGGAAGTTAGTGATCACTGATCTAGGGACCGGTTATTCCAACGGTAGACACGAAACTGTTTCAGTACAGTACAATACAAAAATCTTGCTAATGCAGCACAATGAAGGGAAATGAAGTTCCTACTAATGATGTGTTTTCCAAGAAATGAAACAATCAATTTTTTCAGGTAATATAATGGGAACCAAGAGAGACAGTTGGAAACATTGGTTCTGAAATAAACTAGAGCTAGGGGAAACTACTTGTACTAGGGCTGCTCTATGGAGGAGATGGCAACCACTTTGCACACACGGATGATGGAACCAGAGATGGCACCATGCACACACTGTATACGTGTTTGCAAAAATAACAAGGCATGATCTCGCCCACCATCACAGAAACAAAGTACAACATCATCTTGACAAACCGGTGGCATAGCTTGCCACAGGGGGATCACCATCTAATCTTAAATGTAACTAGAGAGAAAAGCAACACATAGATATGTATTTGTGCAGCGGGATCGGATCATCTAGTGCACACAATACTCTTCTAAAGACAACACCCAGTGCAAGAGACAAATGTGTTGGTACTTGACAAGAGATGTATTTGTTACAGCAGAAACAAAAAAAGAGATCCTGGCATGTTTGTCCTAGTGGGCTGAAATCACCTCCAAACTACATGGACCACAGCACCCCCACACCAAACCAAAAGGAAATTGAAGCACTGCAGGAAGCAAGGAAGGGTGGTGGCCTTACCACTTCCGAAGCAATTGTGTGCCATCTCTGGTTGCACAGGGTCGTGATCATGTGGTTGCTGGTGTTTACTGCCTCCGAAGGTGGTGGTGGTGCTGGCTGAAGGAGAAGAAGAAGATAAGAACAAGATAATCCTATCTACTCCCTCCGTTCCTAAATACTTGTCTTTCTAGGCATTTCAACAAGTGACTACATACGAAGCAAAATGAGTGAATCTACACTCTAAAATATGTCTACATACATCCGTATGTAGTAGTCATTTGAAATGTCTAGAAAGACAAATATTTAGGAACGGAGGGAGTAGATGCAACCAGCAAACAAGATAATGAAAAAAATGAATGTTGAGAAGATGAGATAGAATCTACCCCTACATTGGCAAGAGTGCTGGCCGTGACAGGGACTCTTGATCTCCTCCAACTTGTCAAGCTAGCTGGGGCCGACTATTTGGGCACTGCTGCTCCAGGTTGGCCGTGAGGTGGAGCAGCTAGCCATGTCGTATTGGCTGAATCGCGAGGCTGCGCCGTCCCTCTAGCAGAACCGCATGGATGAAGGACTACTCTCCCTGTGCTGGACCGTGGATAAGGAGCACCTCTGTCCCAGCCCAGCACGCAGACAGCTAAAAGTTTCATATCAAGTAACCAGAGTAAATGTCTAACTTGTACAGATCCCATGTTTCCAACAAATGAGATAAGATAAATATCTACAGAACAAGAGGTGTCAACCTTCCAAGGGCGCCTCTTTTCTGCAAGTGAAATTGATATCCAACCATTGCCACATCCTAGCTCTGCTACTGTCATATCCCTGAAGATGGAATCTGCATGCCAATTGGGACCCTCGTAGAAAGTGAATG